GGTGAGAAAAAGACTTGGGGGCCAGTCACATAGCTCATTGGACTAAAGCACCTGATTAGGCAGAGCGCAGCTGCTGGGGTTTGATTCCCCGCATGCTGTGCTGGGCATCTGTAATCTCAGTGCTTGGGAGGCTCAAAACAGGAGAATCACTGTGAGTCTGATCTATGTAATGAGACCCTGTAGACCCTCTAGACCCTGTCCTAAATACAATAAAAAAAGAAAGAAAAGGGCTTGGAATTCAAAGCAATGACATCTCCATAACTTCTTTTTTAATGTGTATTTTTATTGATAAAATAGTTTATTAAATCAGTAGATGAGTGAAGCCTTCCTTTCCAGCTAAATTAAAATGTAAGCAATATTACATTTCTCAAAATAAACTTTATATGTACAGTAAAAGAGATGTATAAAGGATATCTATGTCTTCTTAATATTATCTGATCTAAATGCATATGTTGTGTCTCAAGAATGATTCATTTTAAAAAGCACTAATTTACATATAGGACACTAAACATGCATCACAGGTTGGACCCGGGTAAACATTAAAAATGGAGTTAAATACTATATTTTACAGATTCATTTTCTAATTACAGAACTATTTTAACATTTCCACTATTTATGGAGTTTTTCACAAAAGTATAGTATATATACATATATGTACACACATAAATATTAATATTACATATATAAATTTTATTTTTCTAGAAAATGGAAGTGTTGGTATGTCTATCATCTCTGTAAAGAAATGCTTTTTTTAAATTTTTATCACTCTGTTTTAAAGTATGTTGCATGCCTTGTTGGATTTGGGCAGGTGGCCCACACAAGGATGATGCAATGAGCCTCCATGTTTGCTTATAATGGCCTTAAAATTCAAAGGAATGGTTTCTCTGAAAAGTAGGTGAAATCATTGTCTCAATCTGCATTGCCTTTGTTTTTTTCATCAAGATGTGAATGAGTGTAGACAGAACGTATGCAGGCCTGACCAGCTCTGTAAAAACACCCGTGGTGGCTACAAGTGCATTGATCTTTGTCCAAATGGAATGACCAAGGCAGAAAATGCATCCTGCATTGGTGAGTGTCTGACTGTGTGAGGGACTGAAATAGACGTACTATCAGTCTTCAAGTAAGGCATCCACTTGAAAAACCAATGATGAGAGTAAATTTAAGCTAACAAAGAATCTTGTATTTCCTCCATTAGTACTCCTAATTTCTAGTATGGCTGACCCAAGTTCACCATGGAAGCTCAGAACCATTTTTGAGCTTTCATCAATTACACATTTGGCTTATTTAATTTAATATCTACTTGAAGCATATTATCTCATATTGTTTCTAATATAAAATTTACCATACACACTTAGAACTTGATAGCATAGAGCTGGCGAGATAGTACAGTGGACTAAGTGCATGCTAAGGCAAGCACAGGGACCAGGGTTCGATTGCCAGCCCCACATGCTGCACCAGCCCTGCCCCTGGGTGCACTGAGCTGGCCACCAAGACTAGGTGTGGTGGTGCACGCCTGTAATCCCAGCACTGGGGAGGCTGAAAACAGGAGGATCACTACAAGTCCAAGCTGTGTAGTGAGACCTTGTGCCAGATACATTAAAAGAGAACTTGAGGGCCAGGGAGATAGCTCAGCAGCATAAGCACCTGCTTCGTAAGCACAAGGTTCTGAGTTCAATCACCAATACCGAAAAAAAACAGATGTCCAACAAAAAAACAGAATCTTTGGGGCCGGGGAGATGGCTCAGTGGAATAAGCACTTCCCTGGCAAGCGCAAGGGCCTGAGTTCAATCCCCGATTCCG